TGTTGAATGAGTAATGACATTCACGTCTAGTCCTTGAATGGAAGATGAACCCACTTTCTTTTTTTTTTTTTAAATGCAGTTTCCGGGGAAAACACTGTGTTAGAGACAGGTCAATAGAGCTTGTATCACCAAGCATACAGCAGAAAGAATGTATTTTAAATCTGTATTTCTTCTGTATCACTTTTACATACACTGTGCTGTGTGTGAGCTTTTGTTGGAGTGAAGTGTCTGTCGCTGAAAAACTTACCAATTACTGGCGGCTGTGGCAGTAATGCGTTTTTTTCATGAATCAAAAGTCTTGAGGATCTGTTTTATTTTTGTTTCAACACACTAATTAACGCAACTCTGTGAGGTTGCCTGAGAGGTTTTATTAATGACGTGCTCGGGGGAATCTGGTCGATCCAGGCTTGTGCTATACGGCTGTTGATTAATTGGTTGTTGTGGTTATGGGCCAGGAACATAGGTACATGCCATGTGTGCCATGACCCCAAAATCGACCCTCAACCACTGCCACACAAACAAACAAATGTAAACCCTTGCTCTCCTTGTACAGAAGGAAGTCTCATCTGATCATAAAACTTAAACTGAAATACTGCTCATGAATTGCAATAAATTTGCAATAGTGGGATTAAATAAGTTTATTCAGAGTGGAGCATATTTGCCTCACCTTGCCTTTATAATGAGTACATTTACATGCAGTCTAGAGACGGTATTGATGTTTGGGTATTATGTGTAGCACAGAGGAATCTGGTTATTTGTCTCTCTTTATACGTGAGTCTAAGAATCCAGATTTCTGATAGTCTGTGTTAGTTAAGGTTCAGTCAGGTTCAGACTACAAAAATTTTGGGCTGATTTATTCCTGATTCATCCTTCTTAACAGTCGGAAGAGAAATCCGGTCTGGGACCTTGATCGGTAACAGGGTTCAGCCCAGATTGTCTGTTAGGGTGTTTTCACACTTGGTCCTTTTCAGCCCTCTAAACGGACTCAGAGCAGTGACTTGGCATTTTTTGTGCGTGTGTGAACACTCCAAGAGAACTCAGACCACCTCGGGAGATGGTCTGAGTTCGGTTCACATAAAGTCCACTGTGCGGTTCACCTAAGCTGTGCCTTGTGAACACTAAGCACTCCAGGTTTGCTTTGCTCTTTGCCATTGTACTTAGCCCTCTAGATTACATGCTGTTGCACTGGGACACTTGAAAAAAACAGACGAAACCACGTTGGCCTGTAGTGCTTGCAAGGACGCAGGGCGAGGAGTAGTTTGGTCCTATAGCACGCAGAAAGGCTGAGATTTTCCTCCAATTTTAAGTTAATCTGAAAGCGAGGGGCTTCATAACTTCACTGCAGTGCCACGTCAAAGTAAAGACAAAGCTATGTCAGTATATATTATATATAGGCTATAGTGTGAACAAAAAGAGGACTCAGGCTCCATCAGAGCTGAAGTTGACCAGAAAGAGAACTGAGTCCTCTTTCAGATTAACTGAGTATGTGAACACAAAAAGAACTGAGTGTCTTTTCTGTTGGTCCACTTTTTGGTCCACTTCAAGAGAACTGAGCTTGGCTTGTTTAAAAAGGACTAAATGTAAAAAAGCCCTTCATGTGAGGGGTTTGCAGATCAGGTTTTAAACCTCCCAAACTCCTCACAGGCTCATTGGGTCGCCTTAATAATTCCAAACATAGCAGGTACTAAAAAAATCTGAATAGTTACAGTCAGTATGAACCAGCTGCCAGTGTTGGTAAACTTTTCTAGCCCTTGAGGCTAACTTAAGCTAGCATACTACTGTTGACAGATACGAAAACTGACAGTTAAAATCTCACTTCCAGCTCTCACAGAAGAATCGAGAACCCGTTCCAAACATTTTCTCATCCAGACTCATTTTGGCTTCTGCTTTTGTTTCTTATTACAACACAACATTGTTAACATTACAGCAAGTTGTCTCACGTGAGGTGGTGCATTCATGCTGCCTTTGACACAGTAATATTAATAATGTTCTGTAGTGTGTGATGCTCCTTTGTGTTCAAGGCTCGTAGTGTGTGCATGTTTGAGATTAGAGGGATGAACATCATGTCCTCATGTGCCTGATGCAATCCGATTTCAAAATCAGTTAGGATTTCAAAACTCCTGTTGTCTGAACCCATCTTTAGTCTTTAACTCCTCCACATCCAGCAAATCTGTCATTTTTCAGTTTCCTTAGCAGTCAAGGACAAACTCAGTTTTGGTTCTGGCTGCATGGACTCAGCTGGATTTATCCCCCATCATCAGTACTGGATGAAAAGAGGGTCAATTAAAGTTCTCTTCTGTAAGGCATAAACTAATGATTATTTTCATTATCTATTAATATGCAGATTGTTTTTTTGGGATTCATTTTTTGCCTGTAAATTGTCAGAAAATTCATTTTTTGCCTGTAAATTGTCAGAAAATCATGAAAATGTCACAGTTCCCCAGAGTCCTCATCTCACCAACAGTCCAAAACCCAAAGGTATAAACTCAACTGTCATTTAAGACAGAGGAGATCAGCCAATTCAAACATTTAAGAAGCTTGAACCATCAAATGTTTTGCATTTTTACTTGAAAAGTCACTCAAGTGATTAATCAATTATTAAAACAGTTGCCAGTTAATTTCCTAGGGGCCAACTAATCAACACAGCTATTTATTAATGCGTGCACTTATTTGATATCCTTTCATTCTCATCAGTTATAGTTATTATTAAAATATTTGACTATAATAATTGAGTGTTTCAGTCCTAGCTGACAGTAGAGTTTGTGTATCTATACTATAACAGTTTTAGTTTTCATTGTTTTTTTTTAATCTTCCTGTAATGATCAGTTATTTCCAGCATTTTTTAGTGCCTTGAAATTATTATTATTGTCATTAACAGACACTCAAGATTCTGATTTACCTTGAGGCAAGTGTTAAGATGGCATATCTAACATGGCTGGAAGATATTGCAGCCCATGCCTGTAGGGGATCATCTTCAGAGACCAACATAACATCTTTGAAGAGAGGGAAGAATACTTATCAGCTTTTTCTGACTGCTGAGACATTCACAGACGCTCATTGACGGTCAACAGTGGTGTGTCAGGACCTTAATCTGTGCATAGGAACAACTTCACCACTTTTTCCATGACACACCTCTGGGCAAACGTATTTTCTGTTTATAGAGAAATGGGGGCGTGGCAGTGTGCTGATTGCAAATAGTAGGCACGCGTCTGTCAGTTTAGAATGACTCTGATTCACTAACATATGCACGGTGGTAAGAGCAAAATTGTCTTGTGTGCACGTGTCATGAATCTGAGAGTAATTTTGTGTGTGCACTTGTTTTATGCGCAGAGTAAGAACATTTCCACAGACGTATTAGTGAATGAGGCGTGTGTGCATTCAGGGAGACTAATGCACAGATGCAGCTATAGATTCAAACAACCTTAATTCACAGAGCAATTTCAACTAACAGGCCTGTCACAAAGTGATTTACAGTCAGCACACACAGACTGATTAAAAGAGGGATAATAAAACCAGAGAAAGAACATGAGCTGTACACACACTAAGAAAGCCTTTGTGTGCTTGTATTGGCGTGTTAGGATATTAAGTGTGAGTAATAATCGTCACTCAAAAGATTGTACAAAATAATTGTCTCCGTGGGCATTACTCAGTCAACCTTGTTACTGTTGAGGGCCATCGGTGTAAAAGTAGCTCTGTGACTGTGATTGGTAAAGTAACCTGGGTGTCACAGGAGCTCTCGGTGGCCCACTCTGGCTGGCATGTTGGCAGTCAGGTTGAGCTCCAGAGCCCGGAGTGCCGTGGTTACCAGATGGCCGTGGCAACAATCTTCAGTCATTTCACTCACCTGGCTGAGTAAAGACTTCCTCTAACCCAGTGCCCACAGGAAATGGTCTCTACAGCACGTCTGCCTTCTCTGCTTCTGCCAAGACTCTCGCTCCCATCCTCCGCTCATGTCTCTGAAGTCTGTTTCAGAAAGGAGAGAAAAAAAAAAAAAAAGAGGACACTGATTTGGGCCACAGAGGCTGTGAGGGATTGCTCAAAACAAGATGGCAAGATAGAAAAAAATTTGATGTCCCTACTTAAACCACTGCCAGGTTGTCGTCTTATATGTGACAGGCTGTTGTGGAATGACTCATGCTGCTTTTTTATGGTCGCTCTGTAAACAGTTCATTGTCACTGTCCAAGTTTCAGTCACCATTTCTGTGGGAGAGTCTCCTCCAGAGATACTACTATCCTTTTTGAAAGGCGTTATCATTGTTATGCTACTCAGAGGAGGCTTCTTCCTTTAAAGGATTATTCAAATTCATTCTTTTGATATTTTCCATGTTTTCTGGAGCAAGACTCGAACAATTTAGCCACAGGGAGTAGAGCAAAACTTGTGGCCCATTCTCAGCCACTGCATAAATGCATATTATTAATGTATTTGTGTGTTTTATTGATTTATGTTGATGTATGGTTCTTGGAAGTACAGTAGGGGAGTTTTTTTGTTTGTTTTCGCTCCAGGGTAGGGTAAAAAAGTGAAACTCCAGCGTGACAGTGGCACAATGTGCAGAAATGTGTGAAGTCAGCTCTTGGAACAGTTTGCAGAAGAGAGGGACGTTTAGTGTGTGCCTTTTCTTTCTTCACACATTTTGTTTTCTTCGCATCTATCCCCCCATTCCCTTCCCTGACAAAAGGTTACATAAAATCAATTGCTACCAAGCAAAATCAATAACGTCCGAACAGAGGTTCTCTCCCTTATTTATCTATCTTATTTGTTTGGCTTCACAGAGCACGTTAACCTTATCTAAAGGCATCCAGCAATGCTGAAAATACACTCAATCCTATTGATAGTGTATGCTAATGCCAAACCATAAGTTCAGCACTTGGCATCTTCTCTAAAACGTATCGTTCAATAAGGCTGCCTCACTCCTCAAGTGGTACCGATGTAAACGACGTTGTGGGATGCATTGCATTTATTCATCTTGTGTCTCTCTCTCCTCTTGTTCACCATATTCCAGTTCCTCCCGTCATTCGAGTGTACCCAGAGAGCCAAGCCAGGGAGCCGGGCGTCACTGCCAGCCTGCGCTGCCACGCCGAGGGCATCCCCAGCCCCCAGCTGGCCTGGCTGAAGAACGGCATGGACATCACAACCAAGCTGTCCAAACAACTCACCCTGCAAGGTACACAGAAGTCAAGAGTTTACTGCTCTCTGCCTTTACACTTATATATTTTTATTCCCACTTCGGTTACAGCCATTATTATTTTACTACTGCTGTTACCAACACTTTTACTGCTACAGTTGCTCTGACAATTGATGCTCCTGCCACTAAAATAAATGTCACTATTATAGACATTTTATGACCCTGACTATCCCATAGTGTGATAGTAGTGATAGTAGTAGTGTAGATAGTGGGGCTGCTCGATTATGGCAGAAATCACATTCACAATTATTCTGGTCAACAGGATTATATAACATGGTTACTTATTGACTTTGGAAAGATATGCTTTTATTGAACTTTGTGTGTTATTAACTGTGAGGGTTTTTTTTTACTTTAAATATAACTACACTGTAGGTGGCTCATTGGCCAAAAGTCTTAATGTAGCAGTTGAGCCACTCAAATACTGGCATATTGTCATTAACTGAAAATAGATAACACAGATGTCAGTATTGTAATGTAATGCTTCATCATAAGACCGAGCTGTTGATAATTTCTGAACTGCAGCTTGCGCTCCTTTTTACAGGGCAGCCATAACAGACTGATAAGACACATGAATGCACACTGTAGCTGGGCTGAAGCACTCGGACTGTACGCTTTAATTTGTTATTCTCTACAACGTGCAATATATATGCATATATATAATTAATACTCTGTAAGCATTAGTTATTATTAAGCACAGTCTGAATCTGCACTGTGAGGCTGCCTGAACGCTGTGGGGAGAGATGACTCACCTTTCAGTCTTTTTTGGTCTCCTCCTGCTAATTGACACATTTTGATGAAGCTGACGTAAAAGGATTGTTAGCAGCCATCCTGAGAGCTCCGCCTTGTAACACAATGAGAGCACAATAGGCTGCACCTGCAGTGGTCTTGATGGCAGCGGGTTACTTTTTGAAATAGTCACAAAGAAGTTATCAAGTTGGCATCACTAAGCGCACCACTGTAAAGGAAAGAGGTGCGCTGGATTTAGAAAAGAACAGAATAGAAAGAACGTTATTCAACCCTGAAGGAAAATTCAACTGTCCAGCAGCTCATAAAAAACAAAAACAACATCCACACTTCCCATCATCAACAACAATACAGTGGTATTAGAATAGACATGAAATAAACTAAGTTAAAATAAGTGCATAGATAGAAATTAAATTAAAATAAAATTGCCCAGTCCATAGTCAAGTCCACTTGTGGCTAATGCGATGTGTGTGACTGGATTCAGGAGGTGCAGCTGCTCCTCTGTTGCTCCAGGAGGCTGTGGAGAGGGTGTCTGCTATTGTCCATTATAGCTTTCAGTTTGTTCAATGTGCCTCTCTCCACCACAGCTCTTAGTGGGTCCAGTCTCCTGCCGAGCACTGAGCCAGCTTTTTTAACCAGCTTGTCCAAACGCTTGGTGTTTTTGTCCATCAAGGTTCCTCCCCAACACACTTTACACCAACACACTTTCTTGTCTTCATAACACAAGACAAAACCAGAGCATTATTGGGAAACAGAATGCGGCTCAGTAATCGTTTTATCTCGATTATCTTGTTTCCATAATTGTTTGATCACATATATTTCAGTAACAATAAAAGTATTTATGATACATTTGTCCTGCTGAGTTAACGTCTTCAGCAGTGAAAGATGCTGGCTTGTCAGCTGATTGGTCGGTTGAACTTGTGGTTAGATGCCATTGGATAATTTAGTTTAAAAATGTTGGCTTGAAACTGCAAAATAATTCAACTTCGGTCATTAAGAGATTCATAATATTGGTATCTTGATAAATTGGTGAAAGTATGAAATAATCTGAGGCAAAGTTTCTTGTAATTCTGTCAATTACCAGCAAAGCCAGATGCTTTTCCTTTGAGCTTGTACACAGAAACATTAAACCAGAAACCTTTCCCAGTGCTCACAGAAACACAGCATGTGCGCCACATTTTTACTTTGAACTCCCACCTTATTGAATTCTCCCTGAAACAAACCTCTCACCTTCCTTCCCAACATATTAGAGAACGGTTATGTAACAGGGTAATGGTAGCAGAGGATGGTAACATGGAAGTCTCCTTTTATCTCTTTCTGGAAGGCAAACTGTCTTTTTTTTTTTTGTCTGTTCTCTCTGTGTTGTTCCTCAAAGCTAATGGGAGCGAGGTGCACATCAGCAACGTGCACTTTGAGGACACCGGCGCCTATACCTGCATTGCCAAAAATGATGCTGGCGTAGACGAGGACATCTCTTCGCTATTTGTGGAGGACTCAGCGCGCAAAACTTGTATGTATAAGTCATGATGTTCGTCTGTTTTTATCCAGGGGATAATGGAGTCATGCAAATGGAGCTCTTAATAATTTATCCTGTCAGTTCTTAATAGTTTATATCCTGTGATGCAACGATAGAGCCTCCGCAAGGGAAGTAATGGTGATACTATCTATACTCTCTTCATCTCCTGGTTCGGAGGCAGGAACAATTGTTCATGCACCCCCTACATCCACTCAGGAAGACATTTTTGTCTCTCATATTTTATCTCCTCCATGCTGGGATTTTTATTAGTGCTGAAGTGATGAAACGTCGGTCAACAGAAAATAAATTGAATCTCAAAAATGCGAAACAATCACTGTCTCTGGCCTCGCAAATATGAAGACTTCCTGCCCCTCTCTGGTTTATGTTCTTGTAAAGGGGATGCTATTTTTGTTTTTGGCTTTGTTTGTCGGACATGTGAAGACGTCACTTTGAGCTTTGAAATATTATGATGGACATTTTCCACAACTTATTCCATAAACAATTAATAGCTCATTGTGGCGTATTAATCATGAACACAGTCCATCTGATGTTCATTTTGTTTCTGTTTTTTGCTGTTTCATCACCACAAATGCAACTGTAGCCAGTATCTCACTATCACTATCCTCATTCATATTTTAAGAAGCTACAAAATATATTCAGCCACAAAATAAGCCTGAAAAGCTGCCAGTCAGAACAGAAGTACAGAGAGTTGTTGCATACAGATGATACACAGTCTCATCTAGTTGCATTGGTGTGAACCAGCAGGTTTTTAGAACGGTGCATTGAAAGTAGTTGAATGTTTCAGTTCATCTCTTCGTGAATCTTTGGTCTGAACTCAGCTGAAAACCCAAAGGTAGTCAGGGTTCCCACGGCTCTGAAGGTCCTGGAAATGTAGACATTGTTTTGGCTATTGTTTAAAATATATTCAAGAAATACCTAAAACATATCTAGCTTTTCACAAAATATGTTCCTAGTATTACTAATTTCAAATCTAGCACTGCACTGCACGTCGGCTGAAATGTCACTAGTATCATATAATACACCAACACCAGACCGGCAACGTGTCATCACCAAAGTCACGCCAACACGCTGTCACATCAGAGGAGAAACAAGTAAATGCAGATAACTGTTGCATAGTGGATAAACAGAGGCTTTCACACTGAGATTTGAAGCACATCAGATGCATGAATATTTACTGTCAGTGTGATGAATGGCTAAAAGATTCTAGTGATAGTCAAGCTGTTAGCTTGAGTGGTAGGTGCTGTAATGTAGTCATACAGTACAGCAGCATCAGACTGTCACCTCCAACTAAATCACAGCCTGAATCAAACAGTTGGTGATTAAACAGGTTGGTCATTTACAGACATTACTTAGACCAGCGATACACTATTGTGATCCAGAGAGGTATAGATGTCAGAATACATAATATCTGGCCACTGTGTTGGGTCATTGATCCACTTTGGCAGGGAAGACTAAAGGGACATGATGGCAATTAACCTTGATTTATTAGGGTATTACGCATGCTCAAGTTTGGGCAAGCTCACTGTGCAATTATTAGACATGTCTTTAAAAACAAGTCTGTGTTTACAAGAATTACATGCACACAGATGTGTCAAAATTAGAATTCAAAAACACGTCAAACTGCATCTATCTATAAGATCCACAGTTTTCTATCCCCAAAAAGGGGCGTGGCCTTGATGTTTTCTGAAGTACCTGTATTTCCCGATCTCATCTATCGGCAAATGCAGCTTGTTGACAGTGAAAACATCTAACGAGTGAGTAAAGTTTGCGTGCTAGCAGTTTGCGTCTCTGCGTGGGAAGTTTCATAATAAGTGGCTGTACTGCTATATAGGCCTACCTTTTTTAAACTACTGAAATTAAGTCATGGAAATGAAGTGAAAAGTTATGGAAAGGTTTTGAAAATGAATCGGTAAAAATGTGTGGGAACCCTGGATTCAAAATTACATAAATCAGAGAAAACGAGCATATCCTCCTCATCTGTGATCAGGTGAAACCAGTAAATGTTTGGCATTTTGGCTTAATAAGTTACAAACGTTCATTCATTATCAAAATTGTACCCATTTATTCTTCAGTCAGTTGATTAATCAGCTAATTGTTTAACACCTCCTCCACAGTTTCCTCTCTGTCATCCTCCACATCAGTGATGTTTGGCACGCATATCAATTGATTAAGGTGGTATTTGGCACTGTCAATATGAAACTGTGTAACAGTAGGGTTGTGACACAAGTAACCTTCTTATTTAAATTTGGAAGCATTTTCCGACACAAACAATCTCCTCTTGTACCCTCCACATGAATACGGTGTCACACGGTAATTAACTTTGACCTTCTCTGAAATGTCAGAATCTGTCTTTGGGGTTCATGACCAGTTGTTAGTGTGTTGTTTTTCCTGTGGGTAATTAGGGTTCGAGAACAGCACGCTTAGCGGCTTTGCAGTCGAGTCACACACATCACGCGCACACTGTCCCACACCTCTACAACACCCAACGCGCTCAGATGTCGTCCCCACGGTACAACACTTCCTCCACCCAGTCTGTCACGCATCAGAGGATCATGCTTGGTGAGGTCGGAAGTCACTCGTGTGCTTTGAAGCTTTTGAAGCTCTACCGCAGGCCAAAATGGTGCTGGGAGATGGATATTGCAGACCCTTTTGGTGTGAGCAACCCCACAGGACAGGAGTTCAAAGGGATGTCAGCAGACAGACAGACGTGTCTGCACTACATTACTAAAGGTAGAGAGAAAAACACCGATATTACTACAGTGACGTAGTCAGGCATGAATATCTGACTGGCTGCATACTTGACCCACTGCAGCTTCCCTGTGAGAATGCCACCTTTATTCAGATAGTAGTTAAGTGAGCAAATGGAAGCTGACTATCTGTGTTCCCTGCGCTGGCTGTCTGTGGGAGCCGGAGGCTAATGTGAGGTGTCAGCTCATAACGCCTACAGCCTTCAACCTCTGAAACCTCGGAAACTTTCACCTCTGCTCTCAGGTATACATCTGACAGGTCATCTAGCACAGAAGGGAGTCTGGAAATTTCCTTTTTGTAGTGTTCAAATTTGTTTTGCTTGTTTTCAATGACAGTGCAGAAATTGTTAATCATCTTCTATCATCATGATAATACATTTAACTTGTTATTTCAAAATATTGTCACTGTGTCCTAAAAATCTCTCTTAGGATAGGCTGGTGTTATTCTCTTGGTGACAAAACAGGTCTGGGGAGCTCCCCTGAGAATTACAGACCTTCAGGAGATGTTTTTCTCTTTGCATTCGCCAAAGAACGCCGAAGTGACGTAAACTGGTTTATGTCTAGTTTGGTTCGCTTAGTCAAAATCCTGTTGTATTTCCTCTGACACGTATATGCTCAGTAAAGCCTGGACTTCGCAGTCGGTCCATTCGTTCGTGTCTTCTTCCCATTTACATTACAAGCTGTTGTTTGAGTTTTGTGTAGTCTGTTGTTTACGCGGCTAACGGGTTTTTAAAAATGGTGGTTTTTGGTGCTGCATTGGCTCTTATGTTCAGCCAATCAATATACACTTACGCCACTTAGGGCTCCTCTTATGCTAGGAGAATATGTTTTCTTGATATGGAGCTTAAAAAGTCACTCAACACAGCGTTCTGAGAACTATGATCATTCCAAGTTCTTACGGTTCAGACACAATAAAATGGGGCTTTCTCAGAACTATTAAAAAGTGAATCTGGTCCAAAAACACCAAATTAAAAACAAACAAAAAAAAAAACATAAAAAGAATAAAACCAACTTGGGCAGCAATTAAGGTTTTTTTTTTTTTTTTTTTTTGTTTGTTTTTGCTTTATCAAATTAGCGATTATTCCACTGATTACTTTCTTGATAAATCGATTGTTTTTGCAATGGGCTTATCCGTCTCAAAGTGCTTTCACACCTAAATATGGTTCTTATTTGTTGTGGATTATTTTCAGCTGCAGATTTTCTGCATAGAGCATTGACTCAAAATAACTGGTTGTCAGAATTTGAATGTTTCTTGATCTCCGATCTTTCTTGAAAAAGAGATCTCAGCCGGACCACCTGTTCAAATAAAGTTTATACATAACTAGACTACATCAGGCTGTAGATACACTGACAGCACTTGGTAGTCAGATCAGTTCAGCGTTGCTTTATGCATTTTAATGGGATTTGTTGGCAGTGAGAAGGGTATAACATACTCTGTGCACATTTCTTTGAAGGGAAACTTTTGTATTTTTCAACTTGGACCCTATTTTCCCATGACCTTGTGTCTTTCTTTACCTTTTGCTTGAGCTGGTCTGTTTGTTATTGTGTCTAACCAAGTCTCACTTAAGGAGAAGTCTCGTAGTTTCGCAAGAGTTGAGTTGTTGCAGGAATACAACAAACAGACCGGATGAAGAGAAGGGTAAAGGAAAAACCTTTTATTTCTCTGTAGGGTCCTGTCCATAATGTTGTCAGACACTTATAACAACAATCTGAGCCTGTTGGTGGCAAAACAAGCACTTTCAGTGGGCGTGAAGTGACAGTGTGAACATTCCCCAAAGGATTACATCGCAGCCTTTTTTGCGGCTGCAGCGCTCTCGCTCAATACTGGACCAATTGTTAAAAATTGTTGTCTCCGATGTTCACTTAGACACAAAAACATGAGAAAGGGAAAAGTTTCTCTTTAAGATGAGTGAAACAGAAATGCAAACAAGTGAAATCCAGAGTGCTGGACTTTGAGAATCGCTTACTGTACCATAAATAGCTCATGAAAAACATGACCATTGAAGAGATCACCACTAAGATGGCTCATACACGGCTGATTACCAGTTTATTTTAACCCGCTTTATACCTTATTAACCCAGCAAATCTCTGTTGATACCCATTGTTTCTTTGCCACTGCAGTTTGTCTTTGTGCAGCATGCAGTACCTTCCCACTGTTTCCTGTTACATATGAACTAATTTTGTTGTTTTTGAACTGATGCATTTGCAGTTTTGGTCACAGGTGAT